TCCTTTCTTGTAGGAAAATCATTCCATTGTTCAGGAGGAACTGACTCATTCACTGAATATGGAGGTGGACTCAAGACCTGGGCTGGGCCAATCAGAGTACCCCACTTTCCTGGTTTCAGTAATTGATTCAAGGATGGCAGTTTCCTAAAGCAGGCCAATCACAGCCCTTCAGGGTTTGTTTGCTTGTTTGTTTGTTTTTAAATGCAGGAGCTATAGCAAAAGATGGTCCCTTCTAAATGAAGTTTCAGAACTGAAAGGATAAACAGCTGGGCGAGCCCACAGCCAGGCTGCCTACTCTGTGGCCTGCCCATAAAATTAAGGTAAGAAAATTTAAAACAGATGCGGAGACAGAGACTCCTGACTACAAAATATGAACTCTGGAATTCAACCACATCAAAATTATGCTCTGGACTTCCCAATTATGCGAGCCAATATAGTTCCTTTTTAATTTAAGCTACTTTAAGTTATGGTCATGTCACATGTAGCAGAAAACTCCCAAATATTATAACGGTAAAAATACCTTTATTTATCAATACATAGAGACACTAGGAAGCCTCTATTTTGTTACTCTGGACTCCATGGAATCTTTATTTTCAGGAAAACGAAAAAAGTAGATCTGCTTCATATTTCTTAAGTCCCCTGGTTAAATCTTATCTTAAACTTCTCTTTCTTGGGAGAAGCACTAAAAGATTTGTAATTTTTAAATCTTATTTTATTTTGAAATATGACATACAGAAAAATATATAAAAGTTAAATTTATACTTTAATGAGTAAATGATGATGAAATAAAAACAGCTTTAGAACCAGAACACCGTTAATACTCCTGAAGCTTCCCTATATGTCCTCTTTGAGTCATGACTCCCAGTTTCTCCTCAGAGAAATCACTGTCCTGACTTTAACAGTAATCACTGCATTGGTGTTTTTTATATTTTTTCCATCTATGTAGCATCCTAAAAATAGAGTTTAGTTTTGTCTGTTACTGAACTTTATACTAAATGGAAACATACCAAATGATATCCATAATTTGCTTTCCTACTAAAACCTTATATTTATGTGATTCATTGCCATTAACCTCTGTAGTATAAAACATTCCTTACATTGCTGTATAGTGTTCCACAATATGAATATAACACAATTTATCCATTTTAATGTCTAATTACAATTCTAATATTAGACATTATAATAGTGGGCATTTGAGATGTCTGACTATTACAAACACCAATTCTTAAACGATTTTAATAGATCATTTCAGTGAACCTGTTCATAAATTTGACTACAGTATATATTTAGTACATATTTAGGAATGAAACTGCCTGGTATGCATATCTTCATCAGATAAAGCCAAACTGGTTTCCAAAGGAGTTCTGCCTAGTCACAGTTTTTGAAAAAATTAAATACTTTTAGACATTCTCTGTTATCCAAAAATAATTTTTTGCAGTTGAAAAGCTTCCATACAAGGTGATATTAGTTCACATGTAGTGATTTAACCTTAAAAAGGAGCATAATCTTCTGCAAGTCTAGAAAAGTGTATGTTCAATTAAAAAACTCATAAAGCTGCTTGACAATAAATATGTGAGAGAAATATATTGGGTTAAAAATTACCTAAAATATTTTATATGACTTTTTAGAGTGAAATATATAAAGGACATTATTTATTATACTTCCAACTAAGCACAGGCTAATAATATAATGATGATATATTACTGGTAATTATTACATATTTAACTTCAAAGGCAGATAAACACTATAATGGTTATAAGCAATCTGTTCTGTAACATTTTTTTCCAACTGTAAGTGATAAATTTCTTGTAATTCCATCAATACTTATAACTATAGCAGCTGTGTGATAAACACTGAATTCTTCCACTGCTTAAACTGCTGCAAATTACAAAGCTATTATGAAAGCATTTGGAAATTTCCAAGCACTAGGAGAAGATACTTATTGCTTAAAACTATTTAGACATGGAAAAACTTAAAAATTCTAAATTTTTGTTTTTGAACCTACTTTCGTTTTTGGTCTTCCCTTCCTCTTAGGCAGTGACTGTGAAATATAAATGACCATGGGCGAGCATCCCCAAAAGAAGTAGGTTCTGACAATGATTAATATGGAGCTGCCAAAGGATGTCTCGCAGCAAAAAGAAGCAACAGCTTATGTAACTGATAAAAAATTAGTCAGTACAACTCTAACAACGTATCTCCCTGGAACCTCAGTGCATTTGATAAATTGTTTAAACTAGACTGTATTCTTCCATTTGTTTAAACCATGGAGACAAAAATAAAATATGGAAAAGAAAAAATTACAGTTATCTTATTCAAATTGGTTAATGGATGGGTTGGTTAGTAAAATGAAATACGCTGTTTAACAGAATTATTGCACATACTTTCAATTAAGAATTACAATATAGTATGTTTTTCATTAACACGATGCTGACTATCAGTCCATCTTTCCTCCAGGATTCTGAAGGCATCTATATTTCCAGTTATTTTTACAAGCCAGGTACAAGCATGGCAACAACTGCATAATTCTATTAATGCAGAAGGTGTAAGAGACTAGACTGAATTTCTGTTCATCTTGTGACATACTTTGGAAGCAACTTTGTTGAGTAAAGTTTACTATGGCTGACTTTCCATAACCTTTATAATAGGAAAGTAGATAATGTAAAAAAACAAAACAAAACAAAACTGGGTTGAGTTTTCTAGTTATTTGAATCACTGTCTCTCTTTTTTTCAGGGAGGAAATGTGTCCAAATAAATACAAACTTACGATTAAACTTTGTTAAGTATGAAGACAGATTTCCTGGAGAGATATCCTTCTCATTGAAACTTAGACAATATATCATAATGTGTTGAACAGGGCTGCAGTCCTAAAATGCTAAACTGTGATAGATTCAAAGATTACTCTGTGGAAGACAGAGCTTCATCACCCAAGGCTTGAACACGAGCTTCTTATTGGAGCGATTATAAAAACTCCTTTTAGAAGAACAATGGCTTTGAGCTTTGGTGAATACATCCATGTCGTTGTTCACAGTCTCCAGCTCCTTGTGGTAGGAACCTGACTATTCCAGATACTAGATGGGTTTAGTAGTAGAAAAAAGCCCCAAGAATTTGTGGCCATGAAGTGCTTGATTATCACAGGGAACCCAAGAAGATGGGCCATGGGGATGATGAAGAAAGGAGGACAGCTTAGGAGATCAGAAAGACCATAAACAGATGATAACGCCACAGAGAAAGACATGAAACTCGAAGTTAAACAAAGTGAATAATCACAATAGAACCACCAATATCAGTATTATCACTAGAATCATATTATCAGAATTAGGACCATGAATCTATGATAATTGCTCTTCCTTTCCAGAATGCAAACCTAAAAGAAATGCTTTTGTTTTAAACTTGCTGGACCCCTCTGCTGCATCTGACATTATACAATGCTTCTTCTCTAACTGAAAATCCAGAAAGTCTTCAGAGATTCTTCTTCCTCATCAGCCCTTTAAATACTTGGCATTCCTGGGCTCTATCCTAGTCTTCCTCTTCTATTTACTCTTCTTAAGTGGTCTAATCCACTCTCACGATTTCAGCTACGATTTCTCCCCCACTTTAGTCTCCAGTATACAGTTAATTGCTGAATAGCTTTACCCAGATACCCCCAAAATACTCCAAACAAAAAAAATTCAAAATAACATGCATCAACATCCAAATGGTTTTTCTTCATTCAGTCTCAATGGACATGTTTTCCATCTCAGCTCAAAATACCATAATTTACCCAGTCAACAAAGCTAGAAAACTAGGCCTGCTACCTTTGACTTTTTCTTTGTCAGTCCACCCATGAAACCTACCAATTTTGCCTGCTGCATGTTTTTAATTGTTTCTTTTTCTCTGGGTCTCAATATCCCTCATTTAGACTGATATTTCCTAACTGGTCTCTCTTGCTACTGCTTCCTCCCTTCAGTTCCACTCTCTACACGGGTATGATAAGAATTTACCTGAAATGAACATTTAACTGTCATTCCTTTACTTCGAACTGATCAACGGCTCACCATTAGATTTAGAATAAAGCCCACATTGCTTGACATTATTAAAAAGTTTTCATAACTTGGTCCCTGCCCATCTGACCATTTTTACCTCATACCTCTTTCTGCACACAATTTCTATAGCAACTGAATAGAAACTGTCATTTCATAGTGTTCCCTTTATATGCTGTGCCCTTTGGGTTTCCACACACTTGCTCATGTTGTTCCTTTTGTCTAGCAATCTGCGTTCCCTCTTTCCCCCCTCGCCTCCCCAACCTCAATTATTTATGTCTTGGCAAAGCTATCACCTCCTCCAGAAAGTCTCTCATGGTAGTTCTAGCAGAGCTGGGTCGGGAAATTCTCCTCTCTATTCTCTCACTCTGTCATTGTCACTTAGCACAGTGTAAGTTCCTCTATAGTGACCATCAGAAAAATCAACACAGATACATAAAAAGAATAAATACAATAAATATGTGCCTACATTGTCTGTGCCCCATCCTCGGCCATAAGGCCTTTGAGAACACAAAGGATAAATTATTCATATTTGTAATCCCACTTCCTAGACCAGTACTGACAACTGATTCTCAATAAATGTCCTGTTAAATGAAGCTGATGGAGAGGCAAAAGAGAATACAAAAATAAACCACAGAAAAGATAAAAGACTGTCTTGTCACATTCCTTCATAATGGTGCTGGTCCTATTCATATTTGGCCAGTTACATTGACTTCTTTAGTTCTAGAAGGTTCTTGTTAAAAATAACTACAGAAAAGCAATTTATTCCCTCGTAGCCAGCAAAATTAATTCTATTGAGAAACTGTCCTGATTTTGACATCAGATCTCTTACTTCATCACCAAAAGTACATTTCTAAAAAGATATGTCATGTGCAATCTCCATCAGGTAAATGGAGAATAAAAAATGGAGAACAAAAACCAAGCAAAAAACAAAATAAACTTGGCAGCACCATGCCATTTATTACATGGAAAATTACTTACGTGCAGCAGCAATACAGCAGCAAGAAAAGACTGGCCTTGACAGTACCCAATGTCTTCGTCATAGACAGAGTAGGCCTAGGGAAAAGGCGAAGAGAAAGAAATATCAGAAACAGTCACAGATTTTAACTTAAGTGCTAGCTCACATCGAGCTGCTGCGAGTTTTCGTCTCTGGGCTGTCTACCACAATTTCACTGAGCCCTCAACTTAAATGTGTGAGCCATTAGCACAGCGGGATCCCTCAAAACGGTGGCACATTTCCTAAGGCAATTCTAGATGTCCCATCATCCCCAGGTTCACCTTTAGAGTTTGGAATAGAGCAATGTTCAGAGCACCTCAATTAACTTTTAAAGATCCATTACGGCTTGTGGTCAAACAAGTCTGTGGGAGACAGGAGCAAAAGGTGGGAGAGAGGAGCAAAAGGTGGGAGAGGGTAGGAAGGTTCCACCGCTGACGTGGGTGTTCTAATGCACTATATGGAGGGAGACCTTAATGCTATCAAAGTGGTGTGATAGATGACCCAAAAAATCACTCTCTGTAGTCTCTATATGTTCTCAACCACCTTCTAAACTACCCTCCCATTTTCCCAAAGTGTAAGTGTAAAAATGACTCCTCCCATCTATACCACTGGGGCCAACCAGAAATATTCAGTATTGCTCTGTTAATTTTTTTTTTTTTTTTTTTTTTGCCGAATGGCTGAGAGAGAGCCTCAGGCCACATATACACCCACCACCACAGGTGTTCTGGCTATTCACCATCTTTAGCATCAGTCTAACCAGGCCTGCTAGTGTGGTGCCAAAGAGGCCCGTTCACAGGAAACAGTTCTTGAGAAGCAGCCATTACACTATTCAACTTAATACTCACTTTAGTCTCTATAGCACAGGAAGTAAGGTTATATGCTTAACATACACTAACTAGAACTTCAAACTGCTCAGATTATAATTTTTTTTAAAAAAAAGACACCCTGTTCAAGTTTTTAAGAGGCGGAACCAGTTACAGTAGGTGCACTGTGCTGATCAAAGAGGAAAAAACAGGAATTAGTCAGCTTTCACTGTGAAAGTCCAAATAGTAAATATTTTAGGCTTTGAGGGATACTTAAACATATCTGCTGCATATTGTTTTTCTTTTCTTAAACAACCACTCACAACATAAAAACCATTTGCGACTCATGGGTATTACAAAAGCAGATAGCATGGGGCCATAGTTTACTGACCCCTAATTTAGAATGAACAAAAATCATTCATGTGCTCCCACATTTATTTTTTAAGAGACAAACACCCCAACTGCACTGCTGAATCCTGGACATGTATCCCATTCCATGTACCCCATCTATTTGTCGTGCTTCATTTTAGTGAGAGGATCTCCATTTAACGTACTTAGTACAATGCACTATGATTTTGTGAGTATAAACATTATTTCTGACCAAGACATTGGTTATCAATGATAGCCAGGAAGGGTGACAATAGGAGGGCAAGTGTGGTATCTGCTACAGCCAAGGTAGCGTACAGGGACTTGAACTTTTTTTTTAATGTTAAAAAAAAACCCTTTCTTCAAATACAGCTTACATTTTAACTGCACAATTCCTTCAGTTAGGTTATTTATGTAACTTCATCATTATACAATATCTTCATCATTTCAGAATGTTTCTCATGCCTCTTTGCAGTCAAACCACCTCCACCTCAGGATGCTAGTGATCTGTTTATTTTTTTTTCTTTTCACAATCTATTATTAGCTTTGCATTTTTAAAGAATTTCATATAAATGGGATCATATAATATATATATTCTCTCTTGTGTCTAACCTATTTCACACACTGTAATGTTTGAGATTCTTTCACATTGTTGCATGCACTGGCAGTCCATTCCTTTTAGTCACTGAGTAGTACTCCTTTGAATAAACATACCACAAATGGTCTATCCATTCTCCTAATTGAATATTTGGGGGGTTTTTTTCCCTCTTTGTGGTTAGTATGAATCAGGTTGTTATGTAAGCACACAAGGCTTTCTGTGGATGTAGGCTCTCATCTCCCTTGGTTAAATACCTAGGAGTTGGAGGTTTGTAATTCAAATGATAAATGTATGTTTAACTTTATAAGAAATTGCCAAACTACTTTGCAAAGTGGTTTTACAATTATTGCACCCCCACCAGCAAAAGTACGAGTACTCATTGCTTCACACCCTTGTCAATACTTGATTTTGTCGGTATTTTTCTTTTGATTAATTCTGTGATTTTGACTTACATTTCTTGGCTGGCTAATGACATAGAGCATATTATCATATGCTTTAAGGCAACTGATACATATTCTTTTGTGACTTTCTCTTCAAGTTCTTGCTCATTTGTTTAACTGGGTTATACACCTTACTACTGTTGATGCGTGGGAGTTCTTTACACATTCTGTTGACAAGGCCACCCTGACATGCGCGTTGCCGGCACTCTCTCCCGGGGTGTGGCCTGCCTCTTCATTCTCTTAGGTGTCTTTTGAAGTACATACGACTGCTCTCTTTTAACTTTCCTCTGCTAACGCTGATATTATCACACTCTTTTCTAATGAGAGAAAAATTAGATCATGGAATCATTACCTAATGAATCTGAAAGAAGCTTTTCTTCATTACCACCCGTTTCTAGAGCTCGGCCTAATTTTAAAAATTGAAAGATGGATTAGCATCCTTTTACTTATTTAATTTTCTTTGATTTAAATAATTATATTTCTGATTCCTTGTTTGTATTTTTATCCAGAGCTCATGTGTGTGTGTGTGTTAGGGGCTGGAAGAAGGGTTACAGAGAGAAAAGGAACAAAAAACAAAGAAAGAGGGGAAAGGTTCTGACACTACACCTGATGGTGCTCTGCCACTTTCTTTTCCATGAACAAGGACTCTGGGATTTGCTGATAAGAGACCACGTTACATGAGTGATAAATATACTTTCAAGGCTTCCCGTCCCCATGAAAGATGTTGAAGCTGAGGATTCCTTAAAACTGCATCTCTAAAGTCATTCATGCTTCACTGATCCTGATATAACTGACAAAGGTTTGACCCATCTTTATATAAATATATTTATCATTTATTGAGAACTGTGCTTATTTATACACTCATTTGTGTGATAAGAAAAGTCCAATATAAAATGAAGGCCCACAACACACCAGACAGAGAAGGTACGAATTTAGGGACCCCACAAACTATTCTCTAACTGGAGAGCTGAGGATAAAAGGGCAAGTCAGTAATGTACTGATCTTACTTTCTAGCTGTGTTATGGTTTTGAATTAGGTAGGCAGCAAAAATGACTTTTCAGAGGCCACCTACTGAATTGATTTTATGATTCACAGTTTGAAAAAACACAGTGTTCTAGCAACTTCTTTCCCCTGGAGTTCTTCCAAGCACCGTTTGGCTTTAGTCTAAGCTTTCTCTGAGTTGAACCAAATTATTTCCCTCTACTTAAAACTTACTGTTTCTTTCCCCACTCCTCACTTTAACTGCTTCTCTGGCCAGATGCCCACTCAGACGGACTTTCATAAACCACCTGAGTACCACTTCTATAATGGAGGAGTAATTTCTACTAGACCAACCTTCCCTCTGGTAACAAATTCAAACTACATCTAGAAAAATACATAAAACAACTTCTTGAAGGCACTGAACAAAAAGCAGGCAGAAACTGGAGGGGAGAATAAACTTGGAAGAAGAGAATGACACTGAGTAAAATTCTCTCTTTGTGGCTTTGGCGGAACGTCATGCACCAGTGGTACCACATTGGATGGCTAAAACTTGAATATAAAATTGCAGACTTATTGGTTTGAAGACTCAGAGAACAAACTAAGGTGACCATAACAACTAAAAAGCAAGAGTGGAAATGCTAAAAAAGAGAAAGCAACAGAAGAAAAGCCTTTTGAACACTTAATGTAAAAGTATAATATCTAACAATGTAAAACTGATACAAGTATAGACAAATAATAGAACAGAATAAAAAGTCTAGAAGTAGAGTCAGACTTATATAGTCATTTAATCTCAACAAAGTTACCAAATAATACAATGAGAAAAGGAAAACTGTTTATGTATGTAAAAATGTAAATTATAAATATTGTTTCAACAAATGTGCTCAATTGGATATCCATGTGAGGGAAATAAATGAACTTTTATTCCTACCTCGCTTCACATGCAAAAATTAATTCTAGATGTATCATAGTCCTAAACATAAAACTAAAACTATAAAGTTACTCAGTGGAAACAAAGAATATCTTTACAACTTGGCAAAGGCACAGGTTTCTCAGCCAGGGCCGCAGAAGTACTAAATATAAAAAAAAAAAAAATTAACTAATACTGTAGAAATCATCAAAATTTTAAAACCTCCACTGATAAAAAGACACCATTAAGAAAATAAATAGGTGAACCACAGACTGGGAAAATATTTGCAAATGTATCTAAGCAAAGTCTTGAATCGGAATATACAAAGTACTCCTACAATTCAATGTCAGACAACCCAACTGCAAAATGGACAGAAGATTGGAAAAGACATTTTACAAAGAAATATATATGAGCGGCCAGTAAGAACGTGGCCAAGTGGAGAGGAGGTGAAGACAGTGAAGAAGTAGGATGCAAAACTCACCTCCTCCCATGAACACATGAAAAACACACCTACATGTAAAACAATTCTCAGTGAAAACTAACTGGAAACTGGCAGAAAGACTCCTGTACAACCAAGATTGTAAGAAAGATCGACAAAGAACCAAGTAGGAAGGAAAGAGACATGATCGCGATGGGGCCTGTGCCCTTGGAAGGAGACTCAGAGAGAGGAAAAGTGAGATTTCATGGGCAGAGATTCTCCCTGGGGAGTGAGTGGTTTGAACCACATATTGGGTGCCCCTGGCTGGCTGGAAGGACTTATTTGTTACCTTTTTGATAACAGCCATCCTGACAGGTGTGGGATTGTAGCTCATTATGGCTTTGACTTGCATTTCCTTGATGATCAGTGATATCATCCATTTTTTCATGTGTGCATTGGCTATCTGTATGTCTTTAGAAAAATGTCTATTCAGGTCCTCTGCTCATTTTTCAGTTGGGTTGTTTTCTGGATGTTGAGCTGTGTTAG